CATCTTGGCCAGCCTCTGCTGCCTGGAAGCTAATGGGCACGTCTGCAGAGACTGGAGCAAGCAAGGCTCAGTTTTTCCAGGGGGGAAATTATTATTTAATAGGACCTTTAAAAATCATGCACTAACTTACACCTGGTTTGCAGGAAGCAGAGAAACTACTGTCATTATTTAGTACAGAAGCTCCAAATTCTCTTTTGATGGACATGTGCTGAAGAACACTGGAAAAGGCTGAAGCTGCTTTGCCAAACTGGAAGCTGACTGGCTGAGGGCCAGCGCTGGTACAAAAGCTGTATAGCTTCATTAGGGGAGTGTTGTGCCCAAACAAAGGAATCCTGCTGAGCATCAGGGCAGAGAGCCACCTTAGTGCTGCTGAAGAGGCCAGAGCTGGCCCTTCAGGTCAATTCTAAGTGTGGGTTTTGGGCAATGTGCACCATCCATTAGATATTCCTGCACAAAACCCCTCTGAAGTGCCTACTTTAACAAAAGAAATAGTAACATTTCTTCTTTCCCCACAAATTTGGATTTAATTTCTAAGTGATGCTTCCCGAGAGAAATTGTCTCTTTTGTACATTCTTTACTTGAAAAAGTTAGGAATTCATTGTGATCCCTTTCAAAGCAGGTACCTAGAAGCAATTCTGCAGTGTTTGTATGATTTCGATGGCAAACCAAGCCATTAGATTTCTGATGAAATGTTTTTATGTAAACTTCAAGTAAAAACCTGTAGTTCAAACATCTTAAAACACACAGGATTTGGAAAATTGGAAAGTGTCAGGAAGAAGCTGGAAGAAAATAAAGCAGTGATATTTGCTTAGTACTTGCTGTGCATGGGGAAAAAACTGCTAGTCTCAAGAGCTAGGAACACCTGCATTATTGGAAACTGAACCTTGATCTCTTAGAGCTTTTTCTGTAATACATTGAAAAACATAGCACATTATAAAGCAGAGTTTTCTGTTCTATATCTTTTTCTGTTAAGACAGAAATTCCACAAAATACCTATTTCATATTCATTGTGACCTATAATGTCAGCATTTCTTAGTGAATGTCTTTGGTTCAAATGAGAAGAATAGCAACTGCTTCTGGAGTAAAGAGCTACAAATCCTCTCCACCAAATGATAGAAGATTAGTCCAGAATTCAAGAGCTTGTTCGGTCTGGTTTCTTGTCCAGAAGCAGAAGCCTTTGTCTAAGATATTCCTAGCCTATGTTTGTTTTAGCTCTTCTTTACACTTTCAGTGATGGAGATTCTATCACTGCTCAAGTCATTTAAGGTATCCCTTCTATTAGAAAAAGGTGGTGGCTTGGGTGTTTTTGCCATCACCTCTTCTCACACTTTTCATGTAAAATCTTAATTTTCCATGGTTTAATATAAGCCTGCTCTTTCTTATCCCATCCACAAGGGTTATGGAGAGCAATGTCCTCTTCTTAGTAGCTCACTTCAACCTGACTTTAAGGCCATTATTTTTGTTTAGTTCCTGGAGAAAACCTTTCCAGTCTGCCAGCTGTCCCTTGGAAATCAGGTTTTTCAAATCTCTGACTGATGTTGCTCCTCTGTCCTCCAGACTCTGAAATAAATTCATCTTTCTTGAAATACAGTGTCCAAAACTGGACATAAAATTCCAGTGAAACAGAGGGGATGGGTGCTCTACTCTGTTGTATGTTAACTCTATAAATTCTATTGATATATTGCATTTTTTAAAGAAAAATGTTCTCAGCAAGTTAATGTCAGCTGCAAATTCAATAAAAAATACTTTGATACTGTGATCAAAGCTTTTGGTCAGTATTTTATGTGGAGTTGACTGGTACCTCTCTGGAATGTCCCTTACTTATACCTTCCAGTTTGAAAGTGATCCCTGGCTAATCAGAATATAATTTTCCAAGTAGTTTTACCTGCCTTGTTTTCCTTGGTTTGCCCTTTTGGAATTTTATGTAAGATGAAGTTGGAAGTCTTGCAGAAGTTGAGAGGCGTGACATCTATGGCATCTCAGCTTGGGTACAGAAGTAGAACTGTAGCTACTGAAAATACCTGTAAAGTGAGTCCCACTTCATATCAGTGAGGTGCTTTGAATTAGTAAATATTTGTAATAGCAGAGGTTGTCAAGGCTTCACATGTGTCCTATGCTCATTTTTGCATATGAAGATTTACAAAAGGAGGTGTACCAGTCTGTCCTTTTCCCTGTGCCAGCCTTATACTGGGATAGAACCATAGAAAGATCTCAGATGATTTGGCTAATTTCTCCAAAAGCTCTATAGTCATTCTCAGCTCTTTTGGTTTTTTTCTTAATTAGAGCCTCTCTGACTTGTCTAAATGGGAGCATTTTTGTGGTCAGCTGTGATGGATTTCAAATACCAAGGTGTTAAGCTCCTGTACAGTTTTGGTCATGGACCTATCCCATTGAAATGGACACAGAAAGGTGTTTGTCTATAGGACAGTGCTGAATGCTGAACTGATGCTCAGTAACCTCTTTTGTCCTTGGCAAGGATGGAGAAGGTTCCTGAGCAGCATTTTATGGGGGCTCAGGAAAGTCTGGGTGAACTGTGTGACTTCAGGTATCTCCCAGCTTAGTCAAGATAAAATATGAAACTGAGGGAGTTTTGCAGCAATTGGAAAAGGCAGAAAATCTGTTACCTGCTGCATCAGATGGCTGCAGTTGGACATCAGAGTAGGAGCTGAGAATGTTGTCTCCTGACAGGTCAGTTTTTCACATGGCACAGGTGTGTGTACATTTACCCAAGGGTGCAGCTTTATACTTGGCACCATTCTTCTGAGTGGCAGAGGTGCTCCTTCCTGCCAAGTTGTTGTGAACAGAAAGTGAGGCTTGAGACACCACGTATTTTCCTGAGGTGTGAAAAGTTCCAAGCCTAACGAAGTGTGATGTGGGCTGAAAATCCAAGAAGAGTTCTGTGATGTAGTTTCAGAAATAAGCCGCGTTGCTCTAATTATTGACGGGTGAAAAATGTTAGAGTGCTGTTTACATAGGAAAATTTAAATCTGATAGTAGTGTTGTTGCAGTTATTTTCTGTTTTTTAATTGTGCTTGCCTTGAATGAATCCGGTATATTTATCTTAGATTTCATCTATTTTTCAAATAAAGCATGTTGATACTTTATTATGCAGAAAGAAAACTTTCCATGTGTTGGTTTTTTTAATAACAATGCTGAGATATGTATACATCTCCCTTTTTTTCCCCAGCCACTAGAGTCTCATTTTTGTTGTTTTTAAGTTGCTTTGCATTTATCATGCCTGTGGAAGGTACTTAACAGACTAATGCAGATATTTAAACTCAATTGTGGTAGAATATTGCTAGTAAGCACCAGTCCCCTAGTAATTCTCTCTGTGTACATCAATGCTAGATAATAAATTTTATGGCGTTAATATTCACAGTACTTCTAGTTTTTCTTTCTTGCCTAACATACAATAGCTTGAAAGGTAGATGGATTGTCAGCTTTCAAAGTATTACAAAGTACCTTTCCAAAGTTCTGAAGGATTTTTGAAAAGGGGTGTTTCTCATTTTCTCAGTAAACTTTTTCACTTCCAAGAAAAGCAGTTCAGCCAACAATTTTATTGGTCAAGTGAAGGACCTTGATAGAATTTGTTGGTAAGCTTTCAGATAATTTGAACATAATGTTTCTACAATTCCGGTAGCTTCAGAAAATGTTGGGGTTTTTTCAATTAACAGGAGACTGTGTGTGGTTTTTCACTTATAGCTGTGAAATACAGAAATACGACTTAGATGTGTGTAGGTTTTACCAGGAGTCTGTCTGTCTGTGTAGTGAATGCTGCTAAGAAGTCAGCTGCCTATGGAAAGTGGAGCATTGGTGAGCTGATGGATGCTGGCACTTGTAATAATATCTGTTTTGGAAAGTGGGCAGGGGAAGATGTACTGAGGTAGGAGTCACAGGACTGTATCCTGGATACTCAGTTGCTCTGAGCTGGTAAATACCTGTGAATTCAGCTGATGGGATTGACATTGGTCCCTCCACTGAAACACTGGAAACTACATTAATTGTAAGGTGAATTAAAATTTCCATGTTGATATGCCAACTGAATTGTAAACCTATTCTGTTGTGAGTTATATGTGTAATTTGACTGATCTTCACTTTCCTGACCTAGGGTTTGGTCTAGTTGTTTGCTAGTGTAGATGGAATAAGCAAAGATAGAATCAAAGAGGATTAAGGACTTGAGAGCTATTAGCTGATGTGATTGAAACTGTTCTCTTTAGCCTGGTGGAGTGCTGGCTGCTCTAAACAGCTGATAGAGAAGCTCTCTCAGCAAAAAAATGTTTAGAAATAAATAGAGTTCTCAAATGCCATTTTTTGGGCTGAATTTTCCAGTGTTTTTCTATGGTAGTACAGAAAAAGGATTGAAATATTTTGAAAACCTTTGCTGTTAAGAGATTTTTTTTAAATTTGCTTCTACTCTTTTTCTTCTGTCCATTGATCAGTTTTCTTCCTTTCTGATAACAATCTATTATTGATGAATTATTTTTAATGAATTCTTTGCATTAATTTTGTAGTTCTACTGTAAAGACTTGTTTCCCTTACTTCATTCTGTTAGGAGCTTTTTTTAGGGTTTTAATTTTTTTTTTCTGCTAACATGGTTTTATATATGTTGCTAAACTAGTCTTCATTGCTAAAACAATTTTTTTTTCACTCTTCCATTTACTTTTTTGGAATGAGGACAGAAGTATAGGTCTTATTCATCTTTGCTTTCCAAGTGTATGTATGTATTTGAGTAAGCCTGCAGAAAAATTTTTGCATGGTTTTGGGGAAGGAGGGACACTGGATTTGGGACTTGAAAGCATTAGCAAGTCTCAGGCAGGGATATTTGTGACTTTTGCACTGTTAATTATTTCTCAACTTTCTGAACTGCTTCCAAATGTGATCACATTACTGTGTGCATCATTGTGAGAGACAGAAATTTGTCTTTCTTAAATTCTTACATTTCCTCCAAAAATGCTTTGGTATTACATAATTGCCATTGTTCCTTTGCATGTTTTTCATAGCATCCTCCTGGGCAGTTGAGAAGGAAGTACAGTTCCTGTTCCACTATTTTCCTGGATGACAGCACGGTCAGTCAACCAAACCTCAAGTATACCATCAAATGGTGGGTTTTACAATTTATTTATTTTTGCTAGCACTTACATTTTATGTGTGTATTTATGTATCTGTATTTCTGAACCATTACTAAGCAAGCTTCAAAGGTCTTAGGTTTTGAAGTAATAAATTTATTTAATCAGTCATGCTGCAGAGTTACTGGGTGATGGCTCAGATGAGCATTTTAAGTTTCACTGGTGCCTTTTTACTTTTGGAGAGAAATAAAATTTATATTTGTGGAGTATTGTTCTTTAAATTTTGTACAGGGGGAAAATAGAGACCAAATGCTCATGCATTTTATGCTCTTTGTTAATGGTTGCTGATAGCTCTCTTGAGATGGCTGTAGGTTGGTTACCTTGGTGTACACAAATGCAAAAATTTATTAAGACAGTATCTCTCTCTGCTGCAGGGGTGTTACATGAGAGATAAATCTATTTAGACTGATGCATCCAAAGGAGTTTATAATGTTGGTAACTAAGATAGTCCTTAATTTTTCTGTTAAAGGAAAAAGAGGGGAGAGGAGAAAGGTTTTGTAGTTAAACTGATGCCTGATTCCTCATCAGTTCTTTCTGCCTGGAATATAGTCTTGCTTTTCTTCAGGTTTCTGTCACTAGTAACTTAAAATAGTTCTGATTAACTCTTGAAAAATGTTTTCCATTTCTGAGGTGTTTGGGCTTTTTTCCTCCTTGAATATCATACTTTTCTGCTCTAAAATCCTTTGTATGCAGAATAAGTGCAGCCTTTTGGGTGGGGTTTGGGTCTCTTTTTGGATTAGAACTGCCATGGCTCCTGGGAAGAAGAAAAGGATTCAGGTGCAGCAGCCAAGAAGCATTTTGAGGACACAGAAAGATGAGCTGATAGTGGGGAAAAGGGTGATGTGTTTGGGATGGTGGGGAGCAGAAGAGCTGGAAGAGCCAGTGCTGGGATGGGGCAGGAGTTGTGCAGGGCTGAGGCCAGGCTGCCAGCATGGGAAGGGTTGGAAGCTGCAAGGGCTCAGAGGACTTGAAAAGGGACTACAGAGGGTGAGAAACTGAACTCTGGCACACAAAGTCTCTGCATCTTCTGTCCAGCTGCACATTTGGCAGATTGAAGGGTGAGGAGACAATAGGATTATTGCTTTTGTAGTACAACTTCATTTTTTCCCCCCACACTTTACAGTCTCTGCAGGAAAACAGCTATTGCACATAGGTAAATCTCAGAGGGAGGCATTTTGCTCAGCTCATTTATCTCTTCTAGGTCATGTTATGCACTGGTGTGTTTAAAATATTACTGTAGGCATGCACTGCAGCATCTGCAGCAGTCGGGGTGGCTGGGGTAGGGTGATGGAAAGCTCCATAATCATAATTTCTGCACTCTTAGTGCCAGCTGAACCAGTGTATGAAAGGTGGAATGAAACTTGGATGAGTTACTCTTTGAGAGCCCTGAGAGACTTTCAGATTCTGATACAGATTTCTAAATAGTAAATATTTTCTAAACCTAATTTGTCATTTTGTTACAAAGGCACCAAGCAAAGCCGTGCACATGGGCTCTTGCATCTGCTTTCATTAAGTGAACTGGAGCTGCAAGTGTGTTCCTAGGGGCATAATTTAAAATTAAACTTTAGGATTAATTAATTTTGTGAATATCTTTCTGTCAAATCAAATTCATTCATAAATGTGAGTTTTTCTTTTGTTCAGTAATAACTGTGGTCTTAATATGTCCATGGTATACCCTATCTCTTGAGTCCTTAAATATGTGTTTGTAGAAAAAAGCCAAATTTTAAAAGCATGTATGTTCTAAGAACTTCTAATAAAGTTAGGTAAAAGCTCATAAAAATTTAGTAAACTATATTTTCTTTAAACGAGAAAAATATTTTCTACTGTATGGCTATTCAGAAAAAACCACAATCAAACCTGAACTAATTTAAAATTCTGCTAGAGTTTTAGCTCAAACATATTCTTTTCCTAACATGCAGTATCTCAGTTTTCATGTAAAAATTCTGGAATAAAATCAGAGAGCAACCAATTGACTCTTAAAAGGTGTTTTAGGGAAAAGGGGGGAATTTTGCATCAGTATAAGACATAAGTGTCTTACAGTGAATCACTGATGAAACAAACGGTCTACAAAGAGAATCAGTGAATTCCCTCCTCCACCGTCTTTCCCCTTTAGCTTAGATTGGTTTTATGCTGCTGCAATAAGTAGGGAGAGTGCTGGCTCGGCTTCATTCTGCAATAAAAATGTATTGTGAGTAAAGCAAGAACTGGGAGTTGGAAACTGTAGGATAATCATAAGAACCCATGCTTTAATTTTGTTCCATCTCAGATGGGAATGAGATCAGTTAGTTGTGTATGTAATCAAAACCTTAACTTTCTGTGAATACAAGGACACCTTTTGTCTGTGTGCAGAATATAAACAGGGGTGCTTTGGTGTGTGGTTGAGAGTAGGGGAAATGCATAATGCAGTAAGTTATTCAGGGAGTCGTCTTTCCTGAGTTAAAATAAGTAACTTGATGCCATAAAACCGTAGGAGCGTGGTGTTTGAGTCTGCTGTTTGAGCAGCTATATAAAGACAGACACAAGCAATGGATTTAAATATACAATCATATGCCAGTGGTGATTAAAACATTTTGTGTTAACCTGGCAGCCAAACTAAAAAGAATGTCCAATGGCTGTGGTGCTTTGTCTTCAGCCTTGGAAGTCAGTAGGGGTTTAATCATTGGGTTTAGTGGAGTAGGGCATTAAATGGAAAGTATGTGCAACTTGATACATGAAATAAGAAGATAATATGAATATGATGATAATATGAAGTAAATTAAGTAATTACAAGTAAAAAGAATGTAGTTGGAGCATAAAAACCAAATATTATAAAATTGTCTGTTTACAGTTTTCCTGATATCTAAGAGTGAACAAAAGAAAATGGGCTGTTGAACATATACTGTTTGTCATGTTTTGTGCTAGGTTTTAAATTTGCATGCAATGTGACAAAAATATAATATGGCAGTCCTGAGATATTAACTCTGTATTTTTCTTTACAGTGTAGCTCTTGCAATATATTACCACATCAAAAACAGGTATGTGAATAGTGGAATCTTGTACTGAAAATATCTTTTATTGAAACAAGTGAACTGCTCAAACCCTAAAAATCCATACTTAATTTCTTTCAAAATGTTTTTGGGTACTCATTTTCTTGACTTACAGGCTAGCAATAAGAAACACACACATTTTCTATATGTATTATTTTACATAGAAAAATGTAAATTGGAGGATTAAGTACCATAAATAATGGAACTATAGCTCAACATTCAAAAGCTCTGATGATTCAGTGTTTGGTTTTATATTCATTGGGCACTTCTGCATTGTTGCATATGTTGCAGTTACATATAGAAAAATCTGAATAGTATCTTTCAGTTTTACATTTTTAGCTGCACCTTTGTAAAGTTAACTGTATATCAGTGATCAGTTAGGATTTTGAAATAAAACCCATGAATTATAGAGTAAAAGTGGCATTGTGAACATTGTAATTCAAGATGCCTCAGAAACAGGGCAGGTCCTGGCTTATCTCTCTTGGTGTAGTATGTTTTAGATCTCTGCTCAGTCAAGTTGATTGAAATTGAATAGAAAAAAGGTTCTCTAAAAAGTAACTTGGCACATATATGAGTTTTCATGTTGAATTGTGCTTTTGTATCTTATATTCCCTGTCCTCATGATACGTCACAGTATCCTAAAATAACATTTCCTGACATTTCTAAGGAGAGGTTGTATAAATAATTTAAGTGACTTCTGTGTCCATGGTTTTTTCAATTGGCCTTTTCAGAGAACTTGGCTTAGATCTTGATTTTTCAAGCCACTTAGACCTTTTTTCTTCTGGACTATAAGAAGTCCAACTAGAACAAAAGGAATTACTCATGAGTTTAAAGTTCAGCTGGTACGTCATTCAGGACCATGGTTCAGGTCACTGGAGCCCATCACACTTCTTGAAACAAGGCTGACATCTCAAGAGAAACCTTTACATGTGCACAAGGGCAGAAAGGCTTAGGCTTGATTCCCGCTCAAAGCTCTTGGAAGACTTTCTAAGACATCAGTGGGCCTTGGACCGAAACATGGCAATATGTAAAGCAAAAGTTGGAGTGAAATCATCTCTCAAACTTCTAATCTCATTTACCAGGAAACCAGGCATGAGTGGTCATGCTTGGATTACTTGTTTATCCATCTGTGGTTCCTTTTCCCCCCTTTTTCCATAGTTCCTGGATTAGTTTGGTTAGCTAGTGGGGTTTTGCTGTGCTTGACTAAATAATAGAGATCTCAAAGATAATCAGGCTCCAAAGTTTTGTGGAAATGAATTATTAATTGTTCTGCTAAGGACCATGGCAGCTGAGTAAAAGGCTTGAGAGAATGGGGCACATTAGAGACTACAGAGGGTGAGAAACCGCTGTAAGAGTTTGCAAGTGAGCAGGAACAATCCAGAGCCACAGTGTGCCAGACATGGCCATCTGTGCTGATTGCCATGGAGCTGATCCCTGTCTGCAGTAAATTATGCCCATTTGTGGGCTTGCAGAGCCTTATGCAAATGTGACCTACAACTGGTAGACAGAGACACCAGACCTTTATAAAATGAAGAGTACTGTGTCAGCATCTTGAAAACAAATGCATTCTGACTGTTGCTTTCTTGGGAAACTTGCTATCTGTCCTTTCACTTTTGGGATGGAGAGGTGATTGATTCAGGAAACTGCTTTCCCTGGAATGTGCCTGGGGTGGGGAAGTGCTGTGCCTGCACTTGGGACAGCCAGTCCCAGCAGTGATGCTGGAGCCAGGCTCACGTGTGTCAGAAACTCTGAAGGGAGGGATGTGAAACAACTGTTTGGTCTTGGGTTCTCTGTGATTTGGGAATGGAGGGACAATGTGATAACAGCACTCAGTTGTGCTTGCTGCTGAAACAGCAAGAGCAAAACATATGTTCTGTTTCCTGCTATTATAGGAGAAAAGGAAGTTGTTGACATATGTGGGAGATTTTGGTTCATATGGGGGGATGGGAAGTATGAAACCACTGTAACTCTTAGACTCAAGGTCCACAGCATCTGCTTTTCCAGAAAAGAATTTTTTAATGCAGTATTTAGTTGGTCCTCTTCTGCATAGGAGACTTCAACCAAAATTACTTCCTAATGTTTCAAACTCTCACCAATCTAATTTTTTTGAGAAGCTATGCATGAAATATAATATTTCTTCACATTTCTCACATTTCATTTGATTGTAACATTCTAGTTATCATTCCTCCCTTTTCCAGTGTCTTCTATCATGGTTATATTGATCCCTTTTCTTCATGTTTTGTTGTCTATGAAAGTAGTAAAGTGATAAAAAACTACACCCATCTTGTTTTTGAAGGAATGCATAAGCATTGGTGAATTTGCTAAATAAATAAAATAAACCCCAACAAACTAACCATAAAGAATGCTTGAGTAATCAGTAGATGATCCATTTTTAAAAGAGTACGATGTGAGTTGCAGTGAAGACAAAAACCTCTCAAGTTTTTGTTAAGTAGATTTTTGAGGGCAGTCAGGTGTCACTTCATAGTATATAGTAGCTACATCCTGAAGAAATAAAATAGGAAATTATTTGCATTGTGAAGTGCCATAGTTTACTGTAGCACACCAATCATTTCAGGGAGACTACTTCTGCATTATTAAGATACTGGGTTTTTAGGGAGGGTTAAAAGAGTCTGGCCTAGAATCCTGGCTGATAGGAATTTTCTAGTAATTACCCCAGTCCAGGTTTTGGTTTTATTTATTTTTCTTTTAGTTAGTTAGTTAGTTTTGTTTTGTTGGTTTGTTTTAATTTAGGTGCTCTTTTTTATAGTAAAAATGTGTTTCTTTCCAGTATTAGCCTCCATTTTAGTAGAAAAAATGGCACCTTCAGATGTTGAGTTAATAAATGTATTTTGCAGACATGAGTCCACTGTAAAACTTGTGGTTTGCATGCTCTGAGAGACACGTGGTGCTAAGTAAAGATAGAAAATATATTCAGTGGTTTGTTTGTTAAGAACTGTATGATCAGAGTACCAGGGATGCTAAAAATAAAGATGGAACTGTAATAAGTAAGTCACAGGGATGCATCTGTCCATGAAGTGCCCGTTTTGGTACAGTTTGTTTTAATTTAGGTGCTCTTTTTTTATAGTAAAAATGTGTTTCTTTCCAGTATTAGCCTCCATTTTAGTAGAAAAAATGGCACCTTCAGATGTTGAGTTAATAAATGTATTTTGCAGACATGAGTCCACTGTAAAACTTGTGGTTTGCATGCTCTGAGAGACACGTGGTGCTAAGTAAAGATAGAAAATATATTCAGTGGTTTGTTTGTTAAGAACTGTATGATCAGAGTACCAGGGATGCTAAAAATAAAGATGGAACTGTAATAAGTAAGTCACAGGGATGCATCTGTCCATGAAGTGCCCGTTTTGGTACAGTTAGACTTCTTGGTTTTGTGTTTGTTAGTGTCCTTGCCAAAGTTACCTACAGCAAAAATCTTATATTATTGCATCCTGGATGTTAGTCTTGTGAAGTTACATCAGTGTGCATGAGTATATTGAGCTACAGGGATTTTAGGGAATCATCTAATAAAACCAATGAGTAGGAATATTATTTTGTCTGAATTTTTGTTTGTATGTGCTTCTTTTGGCTTTCAGAAATCATTAGTACAATAGTGTTTTTTAAATAAATTAAAAATGAAGTATGTATGTATTAACTAAAAGATTACTGTAAAAATAGCATTGCATATTAGTAAACACAATGTTGGTAATAAAGGAGGAAGAGGAGTTGAGAGATTGCAGGGGTGGACATGAGTAAATTAAAAAAGGAAAAAAGGAGAATAAGCTGGGCTAGTTTTATCAAGTTATTATTGCATCCTGGATGTTAGTCTTGTGAAGTTACATCAGTGTGCATGCTGATATTGAGCTACAGGGATTTTAGGGAATCATCTAATAAAACCAATGAGTAGGAATATTATTTTGTCTGAATTTTTGTTTGTATGTGCTTCTTTTGGCTTTCAGAAATCATTAGTACAATAGGGTTTTTAAAATAAATTAAAAGTGAAGTATGTACGTATTAACTAAAAGATTACTGTAAAAATAGCATTGCATATTAGTAAACACAATGTTGGTAATAAAGGAGGAAGAGGAGTTGAGAGATTGCAGGGGTGGACATGAGTAAATTAAAAAAGGAAAAAAGGAGAATAAGCTGGGCTAGTTTTATCAAGTTTGTAGTAGTATTTCTTAAGCCTCACAGTAAAAAGTACAACAGTTTTGTATCTTGGCCACAGAAAGCTGAGTGTTTTAGCATGTTTTGTAATATAAATTTCATATTACATGAGGGTCCTATGGCAGTGTAGGTCCAACCTCTATTTGCAAATCACATTTCATCAGTGGTTCTAAGCACCCCTCAGCATGGAGAGTGTTTGAATGGTGCACTTGTGTCTGTGAGGGTTGTGTGCTGCTGTATTCAGATAATGACAGTGCTTTGGTTTTAATGCTTTTAGGGACACAGACGGAAGAATGCTCTTAGATATTTTTGATGAAAACCTTCATCCCCTTTCGGTAAGTTCATCTGCCTCTCCTTCCCTTTCATGTGAACTGTCTTTTTTTTTTCTGTCTGCTTCGTTTTGTTTCAGTCACCTATTTGGAAGTATTTCTTCCTTAGAAATCCGAAGTGCCACCAGACTACGACAAACATGACCCGGAGCAGAAACAGATTTACCGCTTTGTCCGGACGTTGTTCAGTGCTGCTCAACTGACTGCTGAATGTGCCATTGTCACCCTGGTGAGTGTCTGAAGGATGACATCAGCCATCTGACAGACCCAGTTTTGTTCTCAAAAGTTGTGTTTGTATGATTTAATAGATCTAGGTGCTGCCAGGGAATTTTTTCTCACTGCGGAGACCGAGGAAATTTCTTGGTGGGAAGAGATGCCACAGTTCATTTCATAGGTAGAGTAAGCGAGGAAGAAGAGATTGGGTAACATGTGACACCAAACCTGGGGTCCTGTCCTGGGCAGAGTGAGAGTGTTACAGGCCACCAAGGTGACTCATAGAAAATGTAGATGGCATAGATGGTCTGAACATGAGGGAATGTTAAAAGCAGAAAGGCTTCAACTTCTGGGGGGTTTGCTGTGTCTCACTGTAGCTCCCAGGAGAGACTTGGGAACAGCTGTAGGTGATTTGATAGCACTAAGAAGAATTGACTGGCACATGAAGGATTCAGTGAGTGACTGGGAAATATTGGCTCTCTTCTGCTTCCACTATGCTTGTCATGGGACTGAACAATTGTACTCAAGTCTGAAGTTTAGCTGCTTAAAAATAGCACGACACGAAAGAAGGTTCAAATTTCCAGCTGGTGTGGATCAGCAATGTGGATTAAAAGAGCTAAAGTGATCTCTACCAGCTGGGAATTTCTTAATTTTCTTGAAATTTATATCCTGCCAATTCTGGCAAGTCTTTTCAGCTTTCAGTCACAATTTTGGCCATGTTCTTGGCTCAGAGATTCTAAAATAACAAAATGGTTTCTTACCACTACAACATGTGGTTTCATGACAGCTTAGTTATGCATTTTAGGTGGAAGAAGGGGAAATTGGAGAAGGTGAATTTTGAAGCCCAGGCCTACTCATTTCCTCTGTTAATCTATTCCCCTTGGCTTCTAAGATTAGTTGGCAGGCTTTTCTTCTTCAGACAGTCAGAATGAATTGTACTAGCCAGTAAAGAACAGGAATATGAGAGAAATAGGGCAAGAAACACCCTCCAGTGCTCCACCCTTCCATTTTGTAGTTTTACTCTACCTAGTTGCTTGACAGCCAATATTTGTTTTCTGAGATGACATTTTGCCTGTCTCTTTTACATAATTGTACTAAGTGCTTGTCCTTCTTCCTTTCCTTCGTAAGCGTTTTCTGCTGGAGACAAGATATGTTCTGTGAATCAGTATGTTCTTCTGTAATTTAATTAACCCACTGTCAAATACCTTGTTGTATTTATCTGTTATTCAATCTTGAGTTATTTGATAAGTGAGGGCACTGTTTAGTAGAAAGACAGGGGGCTTCCCCCCCCCCTTTTAATAGCATTACCTTTCTGTTACTGCAATGCATGGGAAGTTCTTTCCCACAAGTCTTGCATAACTACTTCCTTGCCTCTTCTGGTTCTTGTGTGGTTCCCTTGCAAGAAATTCTTTTGAAGTATAAATGTTTTTAGTTAATTTGTTATATTGCAGAAGCAGTGCTTGAAAACTTAGGTGACTAAGTTACCACTAATACAGTGGTAACAGGAAAATGTATTATAGCCTAGTTCTCAGAGCAGCCATGCAGATGTTTATGGGTAGATTTGGTGCAGGTGATCAGTGTTTACCATTCTACTATTCTTGCCTGTGTTGTCAGGACCCCCCTTTCCAGAAACCTTCAGAGGTTATACATAGTGTTTTACAAGTGTGAAATTCTGCTGCTGCTGTTCTCAGTTTCCTCTGTACTTCTAGATCCCATTTCTTTATTCGTTTGTGTCATCAGGAATGGCCCAGACACAGATTGTGTTGTTTTTGAAATACTCATATGTGGAAACTAATCTGTGAAAAAGCAAGTGACCCTTTTCCCCTTCCCACACTCCTGAAATCTTAATAATGTTGATACTGCTGTTTCTGAGCCTTGCAAGTGGTTTCAGCTTTGATATCCTGTCTGGAGAAGGAGAGATCAGCATTCCCTGCTGGAGCTTGTGTTTTGCCATGGTCTGGCTGTCTGTCAGAGAGCAATCTGATAGCCCTGTCTGCCACTTGTTCCTCCTGGGAGGGCTGCCAGAAGGCAGGAAGTGTGGGGATCAGGACATTTTGAACAAGATGCTGCAGTTTTATCTTTCTTTCACTCAGTCTAATTATTTTTAAACAGTTTTAAGCACCCATTTTTACTGCCCACATTATTAACATGGTCCGACGTGCGTGGTTGAATGCACCCACTGTTTGTTTTGGTACATGCATTAACCAGGTAAAAGCAGTAACAATTAGTTCTACAGCAGTCTGTGTTCAGCACAGGAGCTGAGTAAATGTGAAACTCCAGACTCTGAGATAAGCTATTCTGCAGCAAAAAGCTGGCATTGTGTGGCTTGAAGCACTTAATTAAAATATTTCAATTAAAGTCTGCACTATTACAGCAAAACCAATTTATAATTAAACTAGAAATTTAATTTTCACGTAGCCTCCAGAGCTGCCAAGAGATTTCCCATACTGATAGGTGGAAAATTAAAACCTCAGGTTGAAACAATTAAATACTAATTCACATTATTTATTTATAAAATAATACCATAAGAATAAAATTAGTTTTAGGAATTGTTTTGCTAATTTAAAGCTTGTGACTAGTGGTTCTAACCCCAGTGATCAGCATAACTGTATTCTGTGACTGACTTATTGAAAAAAGTCTCTCACCCCAGAGTATTCCCTCCTTTGCTAAAACTGAGAAATGCTTGTCTCCTCTTTAATATCTCCCTCAGTGCAGAGGTGGGAAGCTATACTTGAGTTAATCTACTAATTGGATGGCAAATAAAAATGTGAACAGGAGTGTTACCCATACGAACAGGAAAACAATACAGTGTTTGCATGGCAGGAGAATTAAATATTTATGCTTTGTGCTTTTGTTCTGTGAAAACAATCCTATGAACTGAAGAGCAGAATGGTCCAAGTTTTCTGCTTTGCCTTGGCATGAATTTCTGAGTTTTTTGCAAATAGGCCAGATTTAAGGCACTTTTAATGTACATCTGTGTCCATAGTGGTTTAATTTTGCATTTGCAAGCATGCTGGGTCTGCATGCTGTAGACAAATCAGATACAGTGATATGTAAATACATACAGTACACACACTGAATTATTCTGAGAAGTTCAGAGCAGCATGCTTTTGAAATACCTTAAAGAGTTTATACTGTGACTGTGGGGATTTGATATTAGCAAATTTGAAGTTTGAAGTATGTAAGAATAAATTCTCCTTATGAAAAATAGGGATTTAATTAATCCAGCCAGATATTCCTGAGCTCTTACTGTATTCTTTGGTCACATTTTCACCACTTAGGTAGAGAGAGAATACTGCTGAGCTGTATTGTGAAAATTATTGCATTTGCAGACAATTTTGTTTTGTTTTCTGTGTATTTGGAGGAATGGTGAAAGTGGTTTTTTATTGGTTTCCTTTCACTAGGATGTTTTTACTTTTGAATGCTGATAAAATACTTTATTTAAAATGTATATTTCAATTGATGTGTAAAAAATCTGATAGTTGTTTAAAAGAAAAGGAAAACACAAAAGGGTGTCCAAAGTACATAAAGACACGTGGTCTGCAGAGGTCCTTTTCTGCTGGCCCAGTGTAACCTCCAACCTCTCTGCAGCTGATGGAAGATGCAGGTTTCCATGAAGACCTTGGAGTGCCATCCAAAGCAGTGCTTGCTGCCTGGTGTGACTGTGAGGCAGCCTGAGTGTGGCTGGGTGTGAGCCAGGCCAGGCAGTGAAGCCAGGCTCTGTCCTGTGGTAGGAATCCACGAGGAGGCTTGTGTGTATCCACCTTTGTCCTGATCTTCAAGCATTCCTGGGGAGGTGCCAAAGCCCAGAAGAAGGTCTCCAAGGTGTAGGCAGAAGGTCCCTTGACCTGTGCTGTGGATCCTGAGCTCCTTGGCAGCTGGACATGGCTCAGGGTGCACTCTGAGGAGGCCAGGAGGAACCTGTGCTCTGGGTACTGGCCTGATAAGAGATTCTGGCCCTGGTTTTAGGGCTATTCTTATCTTTTGACTGCAGTCCCATGTACAACACATGAGTGATTATCAGTTAGTACTTACACATCTACTTAGTCAGTGCTTGCCTTAGTGTTGCTGGGATATGCATTTAATGAAAAGAGAACAATGGAGATGGGCATTGAGGGGGAATTACTTTTAAATCATAGGGAAAGAGGACATTCAAAGAGTGTGTATCTCCTCTTAGGCTTCTGTGTGAGCAAAGAATGAATGCTGATCCCAGTTTTAGACTGGAAAGTCAATGTTGCCTAACAGCTGGAGTTCATTTGGAAGAGGACATTCAAAGAGTGTGTATCTGCTGATGCCTCTTAGGCTTCTGTGTGGGCAAAGAATGAATGCTGATCCCAGTTTTAGACTGGAAAGTCAATGTTGCCTAACAGCTGGAGTTCATTTGATATGGATTATAGGTATTTGTCTTAATAAGAGTAATTTCAGGGGCAAATCTAGAGATATGTGTCTTTTCTCTCAGTTCCGTTTGTGCTTTTTATAAATATCTGTAATGGTACTTTGCAGTTGTTCACCTTTTTTTATAGTTCTGTGACTGCTTTTGTTACTTCTTTTTACCATTTGGTCTCAGAAGTAAAAATGGGATGAATTTGCAAGGACCACAATGATATGATGTCCTTTTCCACCAAATGTGTGGCACCAAACCTTTATAGAATATTTTAAATGCCCAGCTGGGCAATTGCAAACCACGGTTATTTCTGGAGAGTCGTGGTAGGAGCTGGCTGATGGCTTAGAACAGAGCATATGGCAGTTTAGTGATTGGATTAGAGCCGTGATTTGGCTGTGTGAGACCCGCTACCAATTATAATCTTTTCCATAAAGATATCATTTCAGTTTCAAGGCATTGTGACACACTGAAGTTTTCTCATTAGAGAGAGATGACTCTGTATTTCTCCATAATATGTTGGGATGGAAATGTCTATGTTAGTTACTCTGTGCTCCTGCAATTTACAGGGTGTGTTACCTGATGAGGGTGGGAATGAGGTGTTTGCAAATAAAGGTTTATTTGTAGATTCTCAA